AAATTTAAGGTATATGATGTATTGATATGACGCACTAATATACTGCAAAATGATTACCACATCTTTAGTTAAAATCTCAATCAAGTCACGTAATTATCATTTCATTTTTATGGTGAGAATGTTTAAGATCTGTGGTTCTCAGTAACTGTGAAGTATAAAATATAGCATCTCTGACACTTTTTACTTCATTTTTAAATCATTTTCCTCACTTGGCTCTTTTCCTTCCTTTCTTCAATGTACCTTATTAAATTTTCATTCGAGTCTATTCTGCCTGGAGTGCCTTATAATTTATTTGTTTCTAAGATAATTTTTTCTTGGTCTTCGATTTCTTTACTGAGTTCATACTCTTTATTCCATTTTCTTTTTGCCCATTTTCTTGGTTTTCTTGATTCTACGTGTGTTTTTTTATATCTCAAATGCTTGACTGAATATACATAACTCTTTCTGGAGTACTATCATAGTTTGTCATCTTCATGGTTGTTTTTCTGGGTGGGAAGAAATTTCCCAGAGTTGGTGTGTAATTAATCTCACTTTCTTATATTGTAACAGCTATATATGGATTAATCTTCCCTTTTTACCTTTTTATGGTTAGAATTTTTTTTTTTTTTACAAGAGTCCTACTTTAACAGCATTCTTTTGTCAAACACTTCGAATTCCAGATAGTTTAGGATACTTTTTTCTTTTTGTTAGCTGGTGGGAGGGGTTATAAGACCTTGATATATTTTTTAAGGCAGAATCTAATTCTTTTATTTTAGCAAAGACAGCAGAGACAAAACACAGAGAAATTTGGTGGTGAGACCTTGATTTTGTGTTCACTTTTTCTTGTAGGAACCTAACTTCCCCATGTGTATTTCTTTTCTTCTTTAGCATGTAAATGCCAGAGGGAGCTTGTTTCCTTTTTACCTTTTGTCTTAACCTTGAAACTGTGCATTTGGAAGAGTACTTTTGCAAATCACTCATAATTTAAAATTACTTCCCTATAGTCCCTGTTCTGATCTCTACTCCCACCTCTCACACACAATTTTAAACTTAGTGCAAAATTGGTCTTTCTGTCAGTGTAGGTCAATTTCAGGTCCATTCGATAGCTTCCATCTTCTGTGTTTTCTACATATCTGCCTGGTTGGCCTCTGCTCACCACAAAGCCTTACTGAGGGTTGGGAGTAGAGATGGGAGTGTGAGAGCTCGTGTGTTGGGAACTGGTGGATTCTGTTTTTATTTAGAATTATTTTCAAGTTTGGGCATTCTCTGTCTTCAAGTTATATGTGCACATGGTTTTTGTGTAGATACCTTTTACTAAACCTTCTTGCAGAGTTCTGCATTGTTTTTGAAGGAAATATTGCAAAACCGATAGTTAAGTTGTTATTGTCTTTGGCTAACCAGAAAAAGTAATATTTAAAATTTAAATTAAAATAATGACCTAGTAAAATTCTGTAAAGCAATACAGATTAAAAGATCAATAATATTGTCATGGGGAAGGTCTTTCTAATAAGCATGAGTCCAAACCAAAAGTCATAAGAGGAAAAAAAACCTACAGATCAAATACCAGAAAATTTGTTTTAGGTATTAAGTTAAAAATGATAAATCTACAGCCTCTTATAAACAAAAAAACTTTCATTTATTTACAAATGTAAAGCTCATATGAATAAGAATCCACATAGAAAAATGGGCAAGAGATATGAATAATAACAAGAAAAACAAATCCCGCATAAAGCATATGAGAATCTACACAAGTTAAAACAGGGAGATTTCCATATATATATCAAGATGACTAACATATCATGTGATCGAGAAGGTGTTCAGTAACAGGCATTCCTAATCACCAGTGGTGTTATCCAAATTTGTACAAATACATACATAATAAAACCATTTGACAGAACTTATCAAAATAGTAAATATGTACTTGTAAACATATATACACTCAGATCAAGCATTTTTATGAATTCTAAATAATTTCATGTAAAAAACACACAGATATACCAAAGATTTATACTGGTACAAAATGTTAAATACATTTTTGTGTTTCAAAAGACAAAATAATAGTGAATAACTAAAAAAATAAAAAACAAAATAAAAAAAAAATTAAGATTCACCAATATGATGAAATGACAATAAAATCCTTCAGAAATCTCAGAAATAATCTTTATCATTTTGGGTTATTTTCTCTTATAACTCATAAAGCATTTTAAACTATGCTGATCATTAATAAAATGCAATTTTTGAATTTAAATATTACCAACCATAAATATGTATACAAATATGCAAATGACTTGATGTCATTTTTGGTAATTTAAAAAATTTTATGTATACACATGCATAGTTTTTGAAACATTTGAGTATAAATTGAATAGAATGTTTCTTGACTCCAAATACATCAACATGTATTTCCTAAGAACAAAGACTAGGTGTTCATAACCACAGAAGTTATCAAAATCAGAAAATTCAGTATCTAATCTTCAGTCCATAATCGAATTTCATCAATTGTGTCAACGTCATTTATAGTTATGCCTTCCTCTCCCTCCAATACTTAATAAAAAATTAAGCATTGCATTTAGCTACATTTTTTCTCTTTTAATCTGTGTATTTCCTGACAATGGAATATTTTAAGAGTACAGGCCAGTCAATTTCTAGAATGTCTTTGTTTTGTCTGATAATTCCTAAGGATTAGATTCAGGTATCCATGTCTGACAGGACTGTATCACAGAGGTGATGTTTTATCCTTCTCATTTAATCAGATCAGGAGTAGTAAAATATCAGTTTGTGTCTATATTGATGGTGGTAGCAATGATTTTTGTTACAGTGGGTGTCCTCCATGTTTCCCCATCAGAAATTTGATACTTTTCCCTTCATGAAGTTTGTGGAGAGATAACTCTGAGACTATAAGTGTTCTGTTTCTCATTAAACATTAGCCACAAGTTTTACCATTCATTAATGCTTTTCTAGCTTAACCAGTCCTTCCATATTTATTAGCTGGCATTCAGCTATCAGGAAAAACTTTCCTTTTCCCTTCCCCTTTCCCTCCTCCTATCAGTAGGACTTACAAATTCTTATACATGGGGGTACACTAATTACTATAATTTCTTATTTGGATTCCCAAATTGTCCCAGATTGGCCAACATAAATTTCTTCAATCTGAAGTTTCCTCTGTCCTTTTGCCTTGTCTCTCCAATTCTCAGATAGTTCCTTATTTTACAGGGTAGGTAATGGAAATATTTTATATTTTGTTAGGGAGGTAGGTTATAAGGGATATGCACTTGTAAACTTAATGTACACTTAAACTGTATGTATATGTGTATGTTAATACTCTAGCTAATAGTGCTTTCTATGATGTTATGGGCAAACAATTCTTAAACTATTTTATGTGTAAGTAAATATATTAATAACAGAAACCAAGTTTCTCATTGTTAGAGAAAGGAGGTACAAATAAGCAAAGAGGGAAAACCAGAATAAACTCTGGGTTTTAAACATAGATAATAGAGGGTGGGGGTGGGTGTGCGTGTGTGTGTGTGTGTGTGTGCGCGCGCGCGCGCATACACTCAGACATATTTTCCAACTCTGTCCACTGACAGGCCCTAATAGCAATGAGGCACCTGGAGCAATAAAAAAAAAAACCAAGCAGCCAAATCTCAGTTTCTAAATAGTATTCTTTACTAAAATCAAGTAGTTTGCCTTAGAGAAAAGGCTAACTCCAGGTTTGGGACAAGGAAAGTAAAAGATTTCTCTTTAATTTAAAAAGTAATTTAGTATTTAAATATACTGAACTACACATTTAAAAATGGCTAAGATGGTAAATTTTATGTTAAGTGTATTATACCACAATAAAATAAAACAACAAAAGCTCTATGTGATCACTACAGTAAAAGCACTACTCTTTTTTCACAAAGTATGAGAAATATAAAATACATCGATGACAAATAAGAAAATCAGTATTGCCTGAGGTAATTTTCTTGCCATGTTCCTCAGTATATTTGTTTAAAAGGGAGAGTTCTGAGGCCTTAATAGATAAGCCATACCAACCCTTAAATAGACGTAAAACAATAGATAGTCCAAGCCTTGAACAAACTTGAATTCAAGCATAATTCACTGAATACTTACTATACAGGCAACTCTGCTGAATTAGATATACTCTTTGCCTTTTAAATTAAAATTCAGTTGTTTTTTAGAAATATAGGACACAGAGTTCATGATAATGTAGATGATCCAGTTTGGGGAAGAGAAAACAAACTATTTGAAGATATCAGTCTGACTACAGCACCATAAAATGGAAAAGTGGTTTAGTTTTAAGCCCTGACATTAAAATGCTTCATTAAGAATTCAACCTCACTTCTCAATAGTTTAAATAAAGTCAGATGATCATCTACATGAGATGCTAGTAGGACAATGAGTCCATTCAGTATAAGCTATTTTCTAGTAAGGTCATCTCAGAACAAGGTAAATGGGAGTTATGTTCTAGATTCTTCTAATGCTAAAAAAAAAAAAAAAGAAAGAAAGAAAAAAAAAAGTCAGATTTCCTAAAGTTATATCAACTACCTAGCTTTCTTAGGAAAAAGTAAATTATTCCTTAAGTATATTCTTAAAGTAAAACTATTAAGATCTAAACCATTTCTTATTTGGATAGAATTGTGTTTTTTCTCTTTTCCTCAAGTCAAGAGCACAGAATATGGATGTTCAAAGATTAACTACATTAAAGAGAAAAGAGAAAACACTTGAAAAATCAAGGTCCCTTTTTAAAGTCCTTAAATTTTCTGGTAGGAGTGGTAAAAGAAATTACCAAATTTAGAACATGTTATATATAATTACATCACGTTTCGAATTCTCTCAAGGATCAAAAAATTTAAGTCGATGAAAATGTATCAAACTTGGTAGATGGTTCTGATGCTATTTAATAAAATATTTAAACACTCATAGTAATGGAACCTCCGTGAGTATTTAAAAGCCTACTACATTTAAAGTTGAAACTGAAGCATATCAAAAAACAATTCGGCATTCTTTAAAGTTCTTACCACAATCATTTCTGAAGGCTCTAACACAAGACAATCACATCCTCTTTTTCCTCCAAACTGCTTACCAAAACTATAAAAACAGAAAAATAATTTCTTTAGCAAAGGTTATAAATAAAATATATCAATATAGGAAAAAAAACGAACAACCAAGAACACCTAGATGTTAATCAAGAAATTCTGATCCTATCACTTAAGTCTCTTTAAAACAAAACAAAACTGTCCACTTATCCAGATATAAGTGATCAACACAGTTCTATGTGAAAATTATTTAAAAATTTCTGCCTTTAACTAGTCTCATATGGTAAATTAAGGTAAAAATACACCTAATATAAACCCACAATTATGGAATACTTTATAAAAGTAAATTATTATAGTATTTTGGGAGCAGTATCAGAAAACAGATATAAACAACTTTAAAAATATTCGCATTTGAATATATAAAGAAATGTAAGATATAGAAGTGATTCTTTAAAAAAATAGCATTGGAGCTACTGGCTAACTTTTTGGAAAAATTAAAACTGGGTGAGTACTAAAAAGAAATTGTATTTTTATATTCTTCATCTGGGAGAAATTTCTAAGCAAATCAAAAAGGAAAGGGAAAGACTGATGTTTTCATTTTAAAAGATAAACTTAAGTTTTAAAAATATACTTGCTAATCATGTAAGATAAAAGGTTAACATACTAAATATGCAGCGTGCACTTAAAATAAGTTATAAAAGCAATGTAAAATATTAGATAAATGAAAATCAAGTACTGTGGCCAATTATACAATATATAAATAAATTTTATTCTAAAAATAATCAAAGTTAAAAAATCACTAATAGTGCAAAACAAACAAAAAAATAAACTTAAAGAAATACAAAAATCATTTGTAAAAAAAGACTATATAATTTTACTGATGGACTAGAAACAGGACTTGAATGAAAGAACTGACATAGCATGTACTTTAACAAAGAAGCTCAACGTTATAAAAATGTTATTTCTCCACAAAGTATAAGGTTATGTACGAATATAGTTTATAACAAAATTCTAATCAAAATCCAAAATGAAATTACTTTTGAATAAACATATTACTTTTTTTTCTTAAGCAGAACTGTTTTTTGTTTCCCCAAACTCTTATATCATCTAATCTATAAAACAATTAAAAGAAATTACAAATTTGCTTTCATACAAAATGGAATAAAGGTACTAGATTTACTCTTCAATCTGGAAAAACGAGAAAATCACACAAAATATATAAAATAACAGTTTCAAGACATTGAATAACAGGCATGACAGGGCTGTGATTCCTAAGAGAGGGGACTTAAAAAACTAATAATCCATTTCACTACCTACTGGCAATCTCTAGGCTACAATGCACAGGAAAAGCCTAACAGAGCCTGGCAATCTCATTAAATTGAAGAGATAGTTGTGGGGTATGGGTGATGAGAGAAGATCATTAAAATTTACAGGCCACAGAACAGGAAAGGAGGGAGCAGCAGAGAGACAGGAAATGAGACAGAGAGAACAAGAATGTACGTGAATGGACGTGGTTCCCTAAGGGTATAGGAGCAGAAAAATACCAATCCCCTAGAGATGTTGGAGCTGTCCTGAAGTAAGTAGCACAGTGCACTCCTCGCATGTGTGATGCTGCTGTGAACAAAACTATGGTGGGGAAAAAATGTGCACGACAGTGCACGTGTGAGCACACGCACATATTTTGGTGATCTTCAGGAAGGTTGCCTTTAGTACTATGACTATATGAGAACGAACCAATTAAAAGCCAGACTGCAAAGACGACATAATACATGGAGCACTGGGCAGAGTCCTCAGAAATGTATTTCGTTAGTAATGTGATAAATTAGTCCTAAAGAAGTGCTGGACTTGCGCAAATATAAAACATATGACTCTATGTGATCAAATGGATTCCAATTTAACTAAACGGCACATCAGAAGAAAGTCCAATACTGCCCTAAAATACAACAAAAGCTGGAACCCAGCAAGATAAAATTCACAATGTCCAACATTCAGTAAAAAACAGGCATGCAAAGAAACAGGCAAATATACTCCATAACCAAAAGAAAAACCAATCAATAAAAATAGACCCAGAACTGTCAGCAGTGAGAGAATCAATAAACATAAAGAATTGATAAAATAGCTATTATAACTAATAATTTAGTCAAGGTTGCAAGATATAAGATCAACATATGCAACAGCTCAACACTGGAAACTACAAAACACTGTTAAGAGAAATTAAAGATCAAAATTAAAAGAGTGATGCACCTTGTTCATGGTTCAAAAGAGTGAACTGCTAAGATTTCACTACTTCCCAAATTGGTCTACAGATTCACTGCATTCCCAATCAAAATCCTGTTTGTTTGTTTGGTTTTTTTATTTAACAAACTGATTCCAAAATTCATATGTAACTGCTAAGAACCTATGATAATCAAAATAATTTGGCAAAGTTGGAGGACCCATATCTTATTTTGCAATTTATTATAAAGCTACAGTCATCACAATAATGTGGTATTGGCACCAGATAGAAAAATAAATCAATGAAAATAAGTAAAAATTGGGAAATAGGCCCACAAATATATTATAAATATATTTTTAAAAATTAAATGTTAACAAAGATGCAAAGGTAATTCAGAGAAAGGAAAGTTCTGTTAACAAATGCTGGAACAACTGAATAGGCGTAGGTAAAAAGATGAAATTAGATCCATATATCAAACATAGCTTGTGAAAAAAACTAGCTCAAAGTAGATCACAGACCTAAACAGATCATAGCAAAATCTAAAACTATTGTGGACAAAAAAGGGGCTCTGTAATAAATCTGACCAAAAGCAACCTTACAGGTTGATCTGATCATAAATTCCTACCAGGGTAACTCTTGGTGGGAGTCATGCCTCAGGCCTATAAAAAGATTTACCTTTGCCTTAAGCAAGCTCTGTTCATTGTTTAAGTTAACACACCTTTTAAAGGTCTTTTTCCTCACTCCTCAGAAGCATAACTACCCTCATGAGACTACAAATCTTAACTATCCTGAAAGCCAATCCTAAGAGATTTCCCTGCCCTGTTTTCTCCCAATTTGGGTCATCTTTAGTTCCCTCTTTAATTCTAAATGTATAAAAACAAACTCCAACTGTCATTCTTGGAAGTATTTTTCAGTCTGTTGAGACTTGCTTCCAGCTGTGTCCTCTGGCTCAAATAAACTCTAATAAACCCTTATAGAAATTTTCTACAGGTTTGGACGTTCTTATGTCTCGAAACTAAAAACTCCCAGAAGGAATTACAGAAAAAAAATTCTGTGTGACCTTGAGTTAATAAAAGATTCTTACATACATAAACAAAACCACAGTCCATTAAAGAAAAAAACTGATAAACCGAACTTCAAAATTAAGTTCTTCAGCTCTTCAAATAACAATTAACAGATGGAAAACACAATCCACAGACTGGGAAGAAATATTTGCAAGTCGCACATCTGTTAATAGACTGTATACAGCATACATAAAGAACTTTTGAAAATTAAAAAAAAAAAATTAAACAATTATCCCTCTCCCCCTAAATAGACAAAAAATTTCAGAGATACTACACAAAAGATATACAACTGACAGACACATGAAAAGAAGCTTACCATCACTAGTCTTTAGGGAAATGCAAATTTAAACCACAGACAGATACCACCACATAACTATTACTAGTATATGCCACTTAAAAAGACTGACCTTACCAATTGTTGGTAAGGATATGATGTGGAACAACTGAAACTCAGACAACGCTGGTGAGAATATGAAATGGCATAACTTTGGAAAAGAGTATGGCACTTTCTTAAAAGGTGCTACATAACCTAGCAACATTTACATACATATCCAAATTAAATGAAAGTTTGTGGCTACCAGAAGACTTACAACATAGCCATTCTATTTACTTCAGAGAAATGAAAGCGAATGTTGACATAAAGACTTGTACACAATGTTCATAGGAACATTAGTCCAAAATAGTAGAAAGCAGAAAACCACCCAAACGTCCTTCAGTAGTTGAATGCTAAACAAATAGTGGTAATATCCATACAAGAGAAGCTGCAATAAAAAGGAATAAAATGCTGACACATAGCAACATAAATAAACTGCAAAATAATTTACTGAGAAGTCAGACAAAAAAAGGCTACTGTATGCTTTCCTTTATGAAAAATTCTAGAAAATGTAATCTAGTAACAAAAAGAAAAAAAAAAATCAATGATTCCTGGGGACCAAGGAAGGATGAAATGAATGGTTTATAGAGGGCACAAGGACATTTTGGGGGGTGGGAGGGAGGTGATGTTTATGTTCATTATTTTTATCATGGTTGTGATTTTTACGGGTATATACATATGCCAAACTTATTGGATTGTACACTTCACACATGTATAGTTTAGTTTACATCAATTAAGAAAATGAAAACGCAAGCCAAATAAGATAAAATCTATGTAATACCTGTCAGCTTGCATCATAAATGTATTAAAGATTCCTATCAAGGAATAATGAAGACAAACAACTTTGAAACAGGCAAAAAACCAAAACTTAGATACTTCACAGAAGAATATAAAAGAAGCAATGGCCAATGAGCACAAGGAAAAGTGCTTATTATCGTTATACAGCAGGAAAATAAAAATTAAAACCACTTCATAGTGACTAGAATAGCTACACGGACTGACACCACCTCATGTTGGTAACTACATAGAAAGAGAACTCTTATACACTGCTACTGGGCATCTAAAATAGTACAACCACTGGGGGACAGTTTAGCAATTTCTCATAGTTTCTCTATTAAACTTCAAGACATATTATTGAAGGGGTTCAGAATGAGCCTCCCCAAAATATGCCACTTTAGCATGTGGATTATTTTCAGCTGAAGGCTATCAAGACCAAGCAGACTCAAGAAAAACTTTTACTTCTCCCTTAATTACCTAAAAGAATTTAGATAGGGTACTTGGCCCAGAAAAAGAGTTATTACCAGAACTATTTATCTCAATGACCTATCTGTATGGCAGGACAAACATCCAAGTATTAAACATCTTCTCTTGTCATCCCATGAATTATTCATCTCTCCTTT